GGAAGTGGTTGAGTCTCCATCCCTGGAGGTATTTAAAAGACGGGTAGACGTGGTGCTTGGTTTAGTGGTTTAGTGGTGGACTTGGCAGTGCTAGGTTAACAGTTGGACTCAGTGATCCTAAGGGTCTTTTTCAACCCTAATGATTCTATGATTCTATGAAATGCTACACACCCAGAAAATCACATTTATTGGAATTATTTGCAACATATACTATTACTGTAAAGTTCGAGATCCCTTAGGCGGGTTACTTTGTTCACTCTCCTTTAGGCGATACAAATTCTTACTTAATAAAATGCTTCATGTTAGTTTTAGGACTACCCCTTGATGAGGCTTTACCTGCACAGACAGACGGACAGAGAGCAGTACTGGTCACAAGGCTTACTGGAAATGGAGAAAACCTTAACAGGTATTCAAGTAATGGTGAAGAACAGACCCATCCTGAAAAATGCAAACATCAGAGGGTAAGCTGAGCTACGTAAGTCACAGAGAGAACTGAAGACTGATTTGCTACTACCTGAGTTAAGTAAGGGAAGATATAACGCAGACTACCAGTAGCGCTAGCCCAAATGCTAGCCCAAAGCCCTGGTGTTGGGTATTGGAAGATCTTCTTAGGATGATGCTGAGTAGAGATTCTTCCATGGGAATTGTTCTTCCACTGACTCTGTCTTCTGTTCATATAAGCAACAGTAGCTAAGGATATGGTTCTTTGTTACTCATAGTTAGATACAGCTTCTCAGGATTGAAGCGGCAATTTTTCCCTTTGTACTGGGTTACGTTTTCCCCAAACAGGCTTTCTTTCTTTGCTCCTGGGGACAGTTTCTGAAACTGAAGGTTGCATCCAGCTTTTTGAAAGTCCTCAATTAAAAAAAAAAATCTGCCAGAAATACCAGTGCTGCTACAGCAAGAATCAATGTTTAAAGGAACTTGAAGGAAAGAAATAAATATATTTCTTCTGGTTTGCTGGAATTCAGTGTTACTTACCAGCTAGTGGACATGGTTTTTCTCACTGTCTCACAGTGACCTTAGCTTTGATTATTCCTTATGCATTTGTAACTAATACTATGCCAACAGTCCACCATTTTAGTTTGAACAACAGTACTTAATGTACTGCCTGAAACCCTAGTTTTCTGCAGATGTGAAGCTGCTCAATATTGGGGTGAGGGGCAATTATATAAAATTTTAACTACAGCAGCTGAAATATATGAGAAACAAATGTATTTATTTGTTCAATTCAGTGTTACCATTGCACAGTGAGAGCTGCATAGTCTGTGAAATTTATCCTGTTTCAGTTAAAGGAAATGAGACTCTTCCCTTTGACTTTGAGAGTGGATGGGGCCCTGAATTTGAAACAGTGAATCAGTTTTGAAAAGATGCTATAAGGCTTTTGTTTGAATGAACATACATGTTGAAAAGGCTGCTATGTTCTCATGTAGCAATGAAATTATGCAGAATGTGGACCATGTAAAAAAGTTTATATTTTATTAATGAGTCTGTTCTTACCAATGTAGCGTATTTTTGTAGAAAGCAAATCATTTTAACTTCAATTTTCTTGTTTCAGGACCAGAGCAGTGGAATGCACCTGTTGTTCCAAAATGTGCATTTGATAAGGATTGATTGGCTCACAGAAAACACAGCCTACCGGAAATGCAAAAATCCACATTTTGTCTTTTTCAGCCTTGGGTGCTTGCTTTTATACATGGCACAAGGAGACAGGAACTGCGATGATGATTTTTTTCTTCTGGTGCTTCTTCCACCATAACTCTTTACAAATACATGGCTTATAATTCCAGTCCTGTGACTGAACGTTGTATTTCCTGTCTAACTCAATTAGTGTATTTATCCTTTCTAACTCCTGCTGGCACCTCAGTAGAAATGTGATGACACTGAGCATACCTGGTGGAGTAGAATCATCTGCCACTGCCAGGCAGGACTGCAACATGAGAAGTCCCAGCAGAGAGAAGATAACTACTAACTGTACTCCTCCACCCAAGAGATCCTGGGTGTAATACCAGTTGTGTCATGGTCTAGAAAAAGCTGAGAAAAGGAAAGGAATTTTCTTTTTCTTGCCAATTTTTTTAGTTTTACCTGCATTCTCTTTTTCTTGTGAAGTTTGCCTTGTAAATAGTGGGTATAAATTAAT